AAAAAAAGAAAAATGCACAAAGAACTTGTATGGAGATTTTTCCATCTACAGATTTTTCCCGGACCTTCTTTTCTCTGTAAATTAAGGGTGCACACTATTGCTGAAAAACACAATCACTACTCAGCAGTAGTAGCAGTACTTTTTTTGTTGAAGCACTTTTTAAATTTGAACTAGCACCAACTACACCACGTAATCTACGAGAAGCTGCAAAAGACACAAGCGCAAGTGGAATGTACAAAACATGGTGACATTAATTTTTAAGTAAATATAATGGGCGATATATTGCGTCACCAAAAATGATTGAGGTCATGTACATATATTGCATGATAAGTCGATATATTGATTATTGCGATAGGCCTAGCAGAGTGACTCTCTCTCACTGTATGACGTGACAGACAACTAGTTGTCCAGTCCGGTTCCGTTCACACAGCGCCTGTGTTCCGAGAATGCGGTTGTGATTCCAGAAAATGTACAGGTGTGAGTTTGGTTACAGAATGCGATTGTCACACCCGTAAATAACCGAACTGTGTGTGAACGTAACCGTATTAAGGACTCAAATACAGGACTGACAACCGTATTCTGCTACTGTGTGAACATGGCCAAAAAGTCTAGATAAACCTGAATATGCTTGAATAAAGCAAAATTATATAAACATATAAAAAATAATACTAAATGCAAATAACAACTGCAACTAGCTATGAGAATTATTATTATTATTATTGTTAAGAATAATAATAATAATAATAATTATAATTACAATGACTTTTATAAACCTGGATATCTTTGAAATATATAATGCAAAATTATATAAATATATAAAAATAATGCTAAATGCTTGAGAGAGGCGGGGCATAGAGGACCTACAATAATGTACAGTATTTGAAAAATAATGTGTTTTTTGAACATTAAAGCATGTCAACATATTCTGTTACACCAAATACACAAAATAATGATCTTTAAAAAAGCATCATATGACCCCTTTAAGCAACATTCTAACACGTAAAAAATGATTAGAATCCAGCATTTTAGCAACATTCTAAAACATGAAAATCTGTTGGAATACAACATTTTAGCAACATTTTAACACGTAAAACTTTTATTGCAATCCAGCGTTTTAGCAACATTCTAACATGTCGAATTCTATTGGAATCCAACATTCTAACACATAAAACTTTTATTAGAATCCAGCATTTTAGCAACATGTCGAATTGTATTGGAATCCTGTATTTTAGCATCATTCTCAAACATTGAATTCTGTTGGAATCCAACATTTTAGCAACATTCTAACATGTAAAAATTGTATTAGAATCCAGCATTTTAGCAACATTCTAACATGTTGAATTCTACTGAAATCCAACATCTGAGCAAAATTCTAACATTCTGAATGGAATCCAACATTTTTGACTGTTCTAACATGTCTAATTCTATTAAAATCCAGCGTTTTAGCAACAATCTAACATGTCAGATTCTATTGGAATCCTACATTTTAGCAACAGTCTAACATGCCTATTTCTGTTGGAATACAACCTTTTAGCAACATTCTAATACATAAAATTCTATTGGAATCCATTATGAGTTATGCAGAGATCCTTAATGCACCTTTATTTCACCATCTCAGCTCTTCATGATGCATGAAACCAAACACAAACATGTAAATGAATCTCTGTGGGTTTGTGAGGCAGCCGAATGAAGCCACCAGGAGGAGCAAAGCGGGGTTTCTGGGAAGGGTACGGCATTGTCCGTTATCGAAGCTGTCTGTCTCTAGAGACACAGGTGTGAAGATCGTAATTATCATCCTCTCTGTGCGCTCTCACAGTTTCATGAACTGTAGGAAACAGCAGGGAGCTTTAGTGTCTCTATATAGTAACATATATGAAGTTGAAGCCAAAAGAGTCCAACCCAGTCTGTTGTGGTTCCTCCTCCAGTGTAAGTCTATGAGATTTGATTTAGTCTGCCAGGTAAATCTGACTGTAGCGAACTAATGATTAAACTGGATACCTTCTAGCATTGAAAGAGCTGAAATGTCCTTAAACGTGATGGTTTACACCTATGTTTTGTGCTGTGATTATTAAATAGTAGCTCATGAAATAGTTTTTTTCTAATCTACTGTTTAAACATTTGAGGTCTGTACGATTTTTTTAATGCTTTTGAAAGAAGTTTCTTCTGCTCACCAAGGCTGAATTAATTTGATCAAAAATACTGTAAATATTGTGAAATATTATTACAAATTAAAATAACCGTTTTCTATGTTAATATATGTTCAAATGTAATTTGAAAGCTGTATTTTCAGCATCATTACTCCAGTATTCAGTGTCACATGATCTTCAGAAATCATTCTAATATGCTGATTTGCTGCTCAAGAAACATTTCTCATTATTATCAATGTTGAAGACCATTGTGCTGGCCAATATTTTTGTGGAAACCGTGATACATTTTATTTTTCAGAATTCTCTGATTAGTAGAATGTTCAAAAGAACAGAATTTATTTGAAATAGAATTTTTGTATAACATTATAAACTTTACTGTCATTTTGATTATTGCATCCTTGCTGAATAATATTATAATATTAGTATTATTTCATTTAGTTTTTTTTTTTTTTTTTTTTTTT